ACCTTTCCCCAGCTCTCAACAGGACCAGAGATATTTAACTTCTCCTTGGATCTATCCTCAGGTTTAAAACTGCAGATTTCTGGGGGAGATGTGTTGGAGATTTTATAGTATATTAAAAGGTTACGTTTTTTCCTTCAAACCAGTGGCACAGAAGGATAGCAGAAAAGAGTAAGGAAATAATTTAATGTATAATACAAAACTAAAAGGACCAGACTTTTAAGAAGCTTTCTCAATCAGCTTTCACTCATATAAATCCTTTTCTGTGTAATCTTTCCATTGCAATTCCTTCCATGCAAATCAAAGTGCCTTTTAGGATGAGGAAGTCAGGCCGAGCAAATAAAAGATCCTCCTCTAGCTTTAGCACAGGATTAATCAAGAAAAGTTCGGATATAATACAAAAAAAGATAACAGGATTCTACCCTGAGCTCGCTTGCCATCTGCTTTCACCATGCAACTAACACTCCCACACATGTCTAGAGAAGGGTAATCATACAGAGAGACATTAAACAACACTAGAGATATGTATATGCTAAATATAAAAGAGAAGAGAGAAAGCAAACTTTTAAGGAGTAGATTCACAAGTAGGACTTTTGTCATTGTTATACTATCCAACTATAACAATGTTGTATTAAGCACTCTTTTATTTTATGTCTTGAAAACATCCTTATACAATGTGGTGACAATGGGGGTGGCATTCAGAGAGAAAGAATGAGTTTTGTGATTTGGACTTTTGTCCACATAATAGAGCTCACATCACTTTTTTATACTCTGAAATCTGTGATACTCAAAGAACTGAAGGAAATGAAAGATGTGAAATACCTATGATGATGTGTGCCAGCAGTTATTATATAATCCAAGCCCTTAGCTGGTACTTGAAACCACTTCTACCAACTTCAAAAACTAAGAGCTTTCTTCCAGCCTCCCTGACTCATTTGGTTCCTGTACTGCAGAGAGAAAGCTAGCTAGCATGTTGAAGTGTCCCCTTTTAGGGAGAACATGAGCATGTCAAAAGAGGAGGTAGGTAGGCAGAAGCATCTTGCAGTATTTTTGCCATATAACCACAAAATAGTTTTCATGGTAGATAATGAAAATTTAAATTTATAGGCAACAGCTAAGAGAATAATATGATTATCAGTATTTTCTAATTGTACAACTTAAGCTGCATTAAACTGAAAAAAAAAAAAAAAAAAAAAAAAAAAAAAAAAAGTTGTATTTTAGAGATGAAAGTAAATGAACCCAAGGCAAAAATATCAGTTCATAAAGGCCAACTATATTCCCGGGCTCTTACCTGCAGTGTTGACTTTTCCAATGGTGCTGCTTCTTTGATGGAATTATATCTGTGCAAAAACCTTGTCTTCCTACACTGTACTGGTCTATACTATATAGGCTACTGATACTGCTTTACCCAATTTCACATGAAAGATAATTTTTAAAGTCTCATTCAGTTATAGGTTACCACATCTACTTATTTAGTGGATTTTACTTTTGCATACTCATTAGCATCAGTTTTTCATTGTATTACTAGTCACTGTATTTCTTTAGTGTCTGAGATCAGGGACATAAAACATATTTACAGATATAAAATGATGCCTATCAGAAGAGAAAGAACTAGGATTAACCAATAAACTGTTGCAGTACTTTTTGCAAAGTTCTTAAGTGCAGTACTACTCAGCAAGAGTAAATTCAAGTTTGGATCTATGTGAGCTCTTAATAATGAAGGAAATGCTCTAGCAAAGACAGGAATAAAACTCATGCTTCTTACCTTTCAGACATGCTGTTAACAAGGTTGCAGTATCTTACATTTAGTGTAATTAAATCTTGATATCCTCTGCAATTTCAACTCAGCAAGGTATCCATCTATTCACAGCTTATTTGCACCTTTTTCAGAAAAGAAAATAGAATTTCAGGTATATAATTAGCCACAATGACCTACGTAACTGTCATCTGCAAAGCTGCAACTGAATCTCTGTCTTGGTAATACTGGTATCCCATAGGGGGATTTCTGCTTCTTAGAAAGTCATACATTTCACATGCAATGGGTTTCCACTCTTGCTTAGGTGTCCCTTTATTGCTGCTTCTCATGGTTTGGAATCACTCTGTGTTAAGGGACTGAATAAACTGGTTCTGGCAAATAAACTATTGGTCCAGGCACCAACATATCCTGTCTGCTTGGTATCCAGTTCCCTCAATACATGTTGCTCAGGTTCTATCACTTTCTACCACCTAGAGATTAATCATTAACCCGAATAAAATTACATCTTTTTAGTAATTAAGAATTCACACTAATTTAAAGAAGTGCAGTAAGAAATCTTCTTGTGAAAAAACACTGTACTCTGGACACAGAGAAGGCACCAGGCTGTGGTTTTCTAATGAATGTCTACATTTGAAGAAGATGAGATGTAATGCTTTGTGTTAATGAAGAGTAAAACTAAAAGGAACCATTAAGATTGAATTTTCTGGCTCCTTCCTACAAAAGCACAGAATCTTACCTGCCAACACCTGCATGGTGAATCGTGTCTTGTGACTGACCTAGGATGTATCATTCAATAGCACATTTTATCTTGTCTGAACAACTTCAAGAGACAGACAACGCATGACTTTAAAAAGGTTTGTGTGACTACACCCACCTTTGAGAGAGCTGGCAAGTAGAGAGGAACTCAGTAAGACTAAGCCTGGACACTTCCCAGACATTTGTTCTAAGACATAAACCACAAATGCTCTGGCAATTATGTGATTCCAGCAAACAAACACTGGTATATGCAAACTCATTGTTCTTCACACCCTCTCTGACTTCTAGTCTGCTGGCAATCCTTTCGTCTGTCTTCATTGCTATTAGGACATGTCTTATGTCTCAAGCATTAACTTTCATGTTTCTTATTCTGGTGTTTTTTCTCCTTTTTTTCTTTCCAGACTTTGTTCACTTAGGTCTTTACTGGTATGCACAACCTTTAAAATAGCTGCTTCCTTCACACTATTTTACCAGCCTTTTCCTGAGGTCTCTAAGGTTTACTCTCTCAACCATTTATAAATTTCCTTTCTATAATACATTCTCTGCTAGTCTAACCATAGCCTCTTTCCCAGCTAACACTCAAGAAAGAAGACTTCTTGCTTTTAAAAATTCAAACCATGTTCTTATCTCTCTCTGTGTTTTACTCTGGCTTGACATGAAAACAATTCTACAAATATTTAATAATCTTTCTACCTAGATCAACTTTCAACATAGCAGACAGGTCTATTTCATTAAATGACTCTTCACTGGTGCAATCATCTCCATTTCCTTCCAGAATCATTTTTTTCTTTCCCTTAAGCTTTCCCAGTCTCTTTCCATTTCTGCCTGCTTTCCTCCATTCATAAACCAATTCTTTCATTGAGTCAAGTCCCCACAGCCTTAATCAGCTTTCTGAATATTTATTATTTAATTTCTTTCTTGGTTCTTTCCATTTTTTCAGCTGAATGTCATAAGATTCCCAGAGGATCCATAATGCTACCTGCAACCAGTTTTGGAACAGAATTCCTTTGTTACCCACATCTTTCATCTGGATGACTTGGTGAGTCATATTGGTCCGGGTGGCAAGAATTTCAGACTCCTATCTAACTTAGAAATGTTCTCTTATTCTCTTCATATTGCTACCCAAAACTAGGGTTTGTCAGCCTTTTCCCCTCCCTCTACCCCCCCTTCCAGGGCAATCACTGTGAAACTTTTAATGCATTTTTGGCATGTCTCTACAAGGCTTTCAGTTAAGCAGTAGATAAACATGCTTCTCCAAAGCAGACGTCAATGTTCCAGCTACTCATCCTATTTTGATTGACAGATTCCCATAACTTATCAGGATCTTCATTAAAGTTCTCTGAGCTGCTACTGTCTACGTAAAGCAGCCACTAGCCATTGCATTACTGTTCTTTGACTGCCTGTTCTCCATCCTCTTGGTATCTCTAATTACTTTCCTGTCTATTCTGTCAATCTAACTTTGTGCTATTAGATTTGTTTCATTTAAACAGTTTTCTGGAAGACGTATGTGGAAACCTGGGCAAGAAAATCTTCTCACACCCTGCTGCTCTCTGTGACATGTATTCTGCAGGCTTCTTTCATTTCTGTCACAACCTTGATGTCAGGGTTGATTCTGAACTTTGTCCTGCCACTGCAGATCTGACACTGTGATATTCTCTGAATACCATCCTATTGTTTTCTGGTAACATTCTTCATGTGCCTTTGTGTCCTCTCATCTGAACTACCAAGCCTTCATCTAGTGGCTTCATCAAATCTCACCTCCCTATTGGTGTCTATGAGTTTTCCTTTACGCAAATTCCCCTTCAGATTTTTCAGTTCTTTTCTTTCTCTTCTCAGAAACCAGTCCAGAGTTAGAGCAGAATCAGCCTGGAAATTATTTCAGCAAAAGTTTTTGCATTGGAAAAAGACAATTAATAAATACCAGTGTGTTGCTGGAACAGGCTAGTGCCACAATGAAACTTTATTCAATAAGAGATCTTGTATATCCAGAAGAGAATTTTTATTCAAAACTAGCTGCGCAGAGAGGCCCCCAGTTTGGCCAGTTATTCAAGAGAAACACCTGTTCAAAACCCTTTGCTTTCTGATTTTAACTTCAAGTTTGGCGGATACATAAAAGATGTACCCATCCAGCCAAATTAACTTTTTCTTTTTTTGTGAATATCCCTTTGAATCTGTTCCAGTCAATTTAGCAGATGTAAGTGTTCTCTCTGTTCCTCAGATACCAACCATCATCAGTAGCTCAAGGGTATTCTGCTACTCAGTGGCTTTCTGAACTTCCATCTGCCCATCCATTTTTTCACCTCAGATCTTACTGGAGTGCCTTTCAGCTCCCCCTGCTTAAAGTTCTGTCTTTCTCAGTACCTTTTTACTTATTTCTTAAATCAGTAAAGCATTTTGCTGTTCTCTTTGTGTGGCAGATGCAGTCCTAAACATAAGATGATTGCATTCCCTTTGAGTGGGGTAATATTCCTATTAGAATATCAATCAGCACACTGAGACAAATGTGAATTTCTTCTCTACCTCACTGTAAACAGACTTTCACTACAGTAAATATAAATACCACTGCAAGCAGACCGTAGGAAAATACACAACACAAGTAAGTACTTCTAACTCTCAGGGAGATTCCAGCAGGGTTCTGGCTTTGGCAAGTGAAAGATTTCAGCCGGTACATCTTATTACATGGGTGGTCGAGTTATTGAACTTTATTGACAAAGGGCTGGATTTTCCAGCAAGACGGAGCTTCATTAAAATTCTGCAGAGACTGAAAATTCAATAATCTGTCTCACAAAGCACTGCATGAGTAGGGCTGATTAGGCAATTTCTCTCTCATTCCATTTCTTTTGCTAAAAGCGTTGTTACTTCTTGTTGGTACAAAAAGACAATCATTAAATGAGCATTCGCTATAGTTGATTAAGCAGAAAGTTTTAAAGGTGCATTGGCTCCCTTTCTCAAGGCTTAATTGAGGCCTTAAAAAAAGTTGCAATAACACTACAACAACAACATTATCGTTCTAGGTTGAATTATTTAAAATTTGGATCTAATGAATCCATTCTTGGCTTTTCTTTTTTATATATTTATTTATTTATTTATAATTCTCTACTTATACATTTGCAGCCAACTCTACTCAGTGCTGGAAAAAGTGTACAAATTACTCTCTATTCCTAATTTCTTTCCTTCTAGATCACAGTTTATTTGTTCCCATTGTGTTTCAGATGAAGAGACTCCATAAGAACAGAACTGCAGGATCAGAACAAAGATGCATCTAGCTGATTCCCTAGTTCCTGGCAGTGGTTGTAGGCACTTAGGTAGAGGAGTGGCAGAGCAAGCTTACTGTTATACCTTCCCTGGGAAAATTATTGGCTTCAGAAATCCATACCTTAGGGACTTCTTGACACAGAGGGCTATATCCTTGTGTTTAACAACTGTTGGCAGATTTTTCTTGTGGGCCTGTCTTTATTATAGTTTTTCCCACAACAAGATGGTGCCCTGTAACTTACAGCTAGGTTTTCCAGTAAGCAAAGACAGTTTAGAGAATTTGGGACCCTACATATCTGCTCTCAAGGGTCTGTTCTCAATAATAGCAGCAGCACTTCCCTCCCTTTGTTTCCTCCCAGTGGGAGGTTTTTTGGACTGCTCCTACGCAATGCAAGATGAAAAAGGCCTCCAAAAAGGCCTCAAACCTACAAAACCTCTAGAAAAGACATAGAATTGTAATCCTGACTGTTCCTCTTATCCTATCTATCTACTTTTGAGTATTACCACTGCTGTTTTTTCCAAGGCAGCTCAAGTGCACCCAAAATGTAAGGATATATAAGACTGCATCAAACATAGCTATGTGTTTGCTTGATAGCATCAGTTATCTAACCTGACCTGTGTCCTAAAACTGCTTGGCCCTCAAAAAGAAGGTTTTTGCTGCCTTTGTTCACTATTTTATGCTATGGTATTTTTGGAACATGGATCAATCCACTCTGATCCTGATTGTACTAGGGTAGAAAAAAAAAAAGACCGATTATCACAGTCCTGATTTTAGTGGTATTCATTCTCTGCTCAGATGAACTCCCACTAACCTTAGTGAACTTTTGCCTAAGATAGCACTGCCAAAACCAAAACAAAAAGTCTTCTGAACATGGTCTAGGATTCGTATAGATACATAAAACTGTGCATTGAAATATCAGTGCAAAAGCACAACCATGCTGTTTCTGAGACACTGTTTGATATTTGTCCTGACATTTTTTTCAATTAGTGGCACTAAAAATAAAATAAAAAAATTAAAAATGCAGCACAGTGAGAGGCATAGGGCAGCAGAACAGATGTCTAGCCTGAGACATCTGGATACAAGATGATCGGATAAAGAGCACCAGGTGACAGCGGGACCCAGCCAGATGCCAGCAAACAGATGTTGAGCAGGGGGAGGGAGAGCTGCTCACTGCTGCCCTGCAGAGACAAGGAGGAAGGCAGGAAGGCTCAGCTGACTGTTCCACACTTAATTCCTGAAGAAAACAAAGATACCATTCCTCAGATTACATGTTTGGACACACTTAGCTTCAAATCTGAACATGTTTTCAGAGGCCTCTGCTTCCTACAGCCTGCAGAACCAAGTTTTCAAGAAATATCTTGACTTTCCTGATGGCCTGGGAGATTCTCCTGTGCAGGACTGGATAGCTGTCTTCCCATTGGTTATCAAAGAGATTCCTTCACAAAACTGCTATATCCTGAAGGTCTTGCGTTCATTTATTCTATTTTGCAGTTTCTCTGGCAGATTTCTGCCAGAGAAAGTCGCTGGCAGTGTTCACAAGCCTGCACGAGGGGGCAGGAGAAGCTAACAGTTTCGGCAGCAACGGCTGCCTGACACAAGAGAAGCAACTGACAGAAGTGACTTCTGCACCGCTGGCCCCTCTGGTTCTTTACCCTTCTCCTCTCCCTGAAGAGGCTTTCCTGCAAGGCTATTTTGTAATAGAGACTGGAAAATAAATATGACCTGCAATAAAACTTATGTCAACAAAAGTCTGCAGATTTTACTAAAATGTACACAAGCAGCTGAGATTGTTAGTAGGAAAAGGCCATTTTTGCATAGTCATTTCCGTTCCTGTAATTGCACTTTGAAATAAATACCAGTAAGAACTGCAGTTAAAAGACAAATCAGGACATTCCTTTTCCTTATGTCTTTTCTCTGACCATAATTAAGACATTGTGCTTTAAGATCAGGAAACACAAACACCGGGCCTGGGAGATGTGAAGAATAGAGTTGCAGAAGAAATCAGTAGGATGCCACTTTGCAGTTCCAAAGGAGTCCAGTGAAGTGGAGCAGAGCTTGAGTGAGCCAAGCCATGATCCCATGTAAATCGACATCATTCTCTTGATGCAGTAATACACAATTTACACCTAATAAAGAGTGGCTCACATTCTTCTGTGGGGAGAAAAAAAGTGCTGAGAATAAAAAAGTCTTGTTCATATGTTTACCAAATCCAGCTATTTGCTACAGCAATAACCACTAAAATTTGTTTTGGAGCACTACCCTCCAGTCTTCTCATCTCCTGTACTTTTTTTTTTTTTAAATAAGTATACGCACAACAACCATGAGAATGAGTGATAGGTCTGAAGCTGAAACCAACTACTTTTTTTTCTGGAAAGTAAATAATTTAGCCTTGCCATAGTTTGAGAAGGCAGAAAGCTATTGTTTTCCTGTAAAAATAGGAAAAAAACGGGCTCTTGAAGGCAAAATGGCTCGGTCAGGGCTCTATAAGAAGACAGAGTAAATGAGAAGTTACTTGTTTCTCAACACCTTGTCAGGATCCATCTAAAGTGTTGCTCTAACAACCTTCCTTCATCTACACCATAATCCTCAGTGCCCCATTTCATCTGCAATACTGTCCTACATAAGAGGATGACATGAACCAAGGTAAATCACTGAGCTCTGAAAATATAGGCCATGCTACAGGGGAAAGAGGTACAAAAAGTGATGACTTTGCAAGAGGTGGCTTCATTTGTTTAATTGCTGATGCAGAGAGAGTCATTCCCTCTGCCACAGCTGACAATGTTGCCCTTTTCTTTGCACCCATCCTGTTGCTTATCTAATTTGTGAGCTGACTCAACTTGATGAACCAGCTAAAAATGAAGCTAATAATATAGCTCGTAATTACCAAGTTCACCTCTTGCAAATAGGGACAAGATTGCAAGCCACTTCTGGTGTTCTACAAAACCTCACCCTACTGTGCCTAGAAAGCACACCAAGCCCATGTAAATCAGGTATACTCTATTGACAGTACTATTTCACCTTCTTAGCTCAGGAGACCCATGAAGCAAGCAGTAAGAGTGACACCTCCACAAGCATTGGGACAGACTTGCCTTAGCAGCAGGAGAGAACTCAGCTCCACTCTCCTATCAACTTTCCACATCCACATCAAAAGCTCAGGCAGAGGTTAATGTTCCAGTACTTAGTGCTAGGACTTCTGGTCCTCTTTAACTACTTCCTCTCTATTGATGGGCTTATTTCTGCCAATGACTATCTCCACATAAATCATGCCACCTCTTCCCTACTCCAAGGCTCTCCCTTTCTTTCTCTTCTATTCTTCTGCCAAGTAAGTGCGCACTTTGTTTCAACTCTTCAACAGAATACCTCAGAGTAAAAAGCACCCCTATCTTCTTTCCCCAGTATTACAGTATTAGTTAGCAGCAGCAGTAACAAGAAGGATTGCTAGATGTGGGTAAGACTATTCTGAAAGTCTGTATATGTTAGGACTCAGGTTGGAGCCTGTCTGACTTTAAGTATCAGAGGAGCACCTCTGATTTACACAAGCCCATAAGCTGACTTAAGAGTGTTTTAAGTACCTTACTAAATCAGACTTCAATGGGTAATGACCATAAAGGATACAACAATAAAAATATCCAGCTGTTGACATTGGTGAAGCCTTCTTCATACTGGGTGGCCATCACCATGTTTTCAAAGCAGAGGGGTGAAGCTTGTAATTGAGGCTTTCCATGCATGTTCAGATCAGGGCCTGACAAAGAAAACCATTAGCAGCAATGAGAAGTTCTGTGTTGACTTAAAAACATTTTGGATAAGACTGTTCCATAGCAAACAATCCTGCCTCAGATTGGCACTCAGAGGCTGAAGACAGATTGTAGATAAAATGTAGATAAAATGAAAGAAGCTTGGCCCAAACACACCACCACTGAGTAAAGGATCTGTCCCTTATCCCTGGCTGATCCTTAACATAGTCCGCAACAAAATCCCAAGCCTGTGTGCTGCAGCTTGAGACCATCATTATTACTTGACTCTGAGGTCTCTGTGTTTCACCAGTTCAACCAAGCAGAAGAATAGGTTTGCATAGCCCAAGAACTAACCATTGTATAACTTGGTTGTTTTTATTATTTAAGTGAAGGGCTGTACTGTGGCTACATTTGCCTACAGCAGAAGTTCTAATCAATGGGAATTGTATGACAAAACTACTAAATGCTGAAGCAGAGACGAAACAGCAATGGTTAAATGCCTCCCTCCTGTGACGGTATTAGCATGACTGCTAGGAAATATGTGCTTGAAAATGCCAGAGAAAGTGATTTGTCTGTGACAGAAGCTGCTTTAAGAGAGAAAATGAAAACCACAACCACACAAAAATAAAGCCTCTTTTAATGAGCTTCGGATGCCTTCTGGAAAATTGAGAAGAGCTTTTAATGCATAAATGGTTCTTCTGGTATATCATTATATTTTCTGGTGGCAAGTTTTTTTTGTTGTTGTTGTTTGTTGTTTTTTGTTTTTTTTTAACATCACCAAGCATATACTTTTTTATTTAACTGAGAACAGGGCCTTTGTTGTTAGAAACAGAAAGCAGGAAGGACCAAATTGCTCCAGTCATTAGAATAACCAGTGTGAGAGATGTTTACCTGAACCTACCCTAAATTCCTGAGGATACCCACCAGTATTTCCTGGAGGATGGTTTGGTAATCAATTTGACTTTGTGCTGCTGAGCATGAGTCATTGGAAATCATAATGATCATGTTTCTGTATCATCTGTCAGGTGAAAGCAAGAAGATGGGAGGACCTACAAAAGAATTGTAAGATGTCTTGGTAAACCTTGAGCACAGAAGGCAGCTTGCAACACTTAGACTGAAAACCATCACATCCTTTATTCTGTGTGACTGTTTTCCTATTGAGTTTTCTTTTGTTGTATTGCCTGCTCTGAAGAAAAGACATCTATGCCATTTTATGTCATGTTATCTGCTCTTTAGTCTGTCTTATTTTATATATATTTATAATTTAGTAGCCTAATCATTAATTAGTGCTATAAATTGAAAGATTACACATTAGAATGAAGGATAAGAACAGTATAGTGGTAACTTGTCACTGAAGAAGTAATCTTGAACTTGTTAGCTATGGGTATGCCGGCTTGACATTCAAATTTTTAAATGAAGTTGTACAAATGTATGACCTCTACCTTCACAAGAGGAACAAGTAAACCATTGAAAACTACAAACAGTCTAGCATCGCATTCACTCACTGTACTAGTCAATCATACTGTATTCCTACTTGCTTTTCAAACTTGTGCATGTTGACCCAGCCTTCAGAAATGCTTAAAGTTTTCCCATATGAGAATTATTTATGGCCTTTTTGCAGGCTGAAGGTCTATACTCATCTTTAACACTTTTCAAATGAGTAATCTAGCCACAAAACAAAGGTGGTAGCTCTTCCTCAAGTTTCATGAAAAAATAGCAATATTTACCCAAAAATGCAAGCCAGGCACTTATCTGCCAGAAGCAGTTTGAAAACCTGAATCTGTTCCAGAAATGCCACCTCTGAGATCACCCTCTGAATCTAGGCAATATAGAGAGCATAAGATTCTCCTGCCTCATCAGCATTGCCAGTTGGCTGGATTAGACTTCCTCTCATCCTCTCCATTTGGTGTGACTGGTATTCTTAGGCACCTACATTCATTATGTAATGATCAGAAGTCAGCCCTGTGCATTCCTGTACTGTAACCAGGCTTTTGAATTTGGGGGAGGAATTGCTGTACTGAATGTCATACCTAATTCCTACTCTGGATCTGATCCTGAGAAAGTAAGGCCTCAGATTCCCCTCCTAAAGAGGAGTTTGTCATGCTCAATCAGACTGTTGAGCTTCGTATTTTCTGAACTCTGGCTGGACATTAACATGCAGGCTCTATGACAAACATTTCTTCTTATTTTTTCCTCAAGTCCAAACGCCCAGTTACACCTCAAGTTTCCCTTTGCTCATTCCTTCTGCTTATTCCACACAGCGGGTTTCCAGGGCAGGAGCAAGCAGGCAGCTCTGCTGCTGTCTGCTGAACAAACACCATAGAGGATGGGAAGAGGAGTCATAAAACCAACTGAAGAGGAACATCTTATTCACCTATGCAAGGGGTATGTCATTAGCTTCTATTTTTATTTACTTTTTTTTTTTTTAAAAAAAAAAAAAAGGCTCTTCACAAACCAATTGCTTCAGCAGAGAGACCTAAAAGCATTTTTTTTTTCCTCTGGCAGAAGAGAGGCATTCACAGGTTGCAGGGTTGGGTTTAATTTTATTCTTTTACTTCAGTTTATGGCTGTCACAAGTCAAGCTAGCTCATGGTGGTGGTCTCATATGAGTTGGTTCTCCATTTGCCCACTTACAAGCTTCACCTGCAATAGCAAAATGCCGTGTAGTTCATCTACACCAAGTATAGTTTTGATTCATGTCTGTCTGTAGTAACTTGTCTTGAAAGTGAGCTCAAGAACTCAGAGGGCATACTTCATACAGGCCTTTAACTACATGAGTTGCTGGTGCAATGTCTAGTCAAAAGCTGCTGTAATTGAACGTTTTGTCTTCCTCTCAGTTATGTCAGTGACAGAAATGTCTGTCAAGAGTCTGATCCTTTACTACCTGCTACATTCTTCACAGGCTGTCTGAGGCCAATCCATATCCATCCCCTTGTCAAGAGTCCTGTGGCAATTCTTCTCCACATGAGAGAGGTATCTCGAGGTTTTGGGCTGCCATCTTATTCCCCTGAACACTCAGGCTTAACCTCCCACTTCCAATTTGGTTGTCAGCAAGATCCTCTCTAAAAAATCTGAAGAGAAAGATGAGGCTTATGGATGAGCCTGGAAGAGATGGTTATTCAATATAATTCCCATTATTGATGCTGTCTCTCTACCTCTTTCTGCCTCAATTCTTTCCTTTTGTCACACACTAATTGCCCAGCAAGGAGGGCATTTGACCATTGGAAACTGAGCTGTACTCTCAGTCTCTCTTTTAGGTGCTACCACACTTATGAAACAAATCTGTAGTTTCACAAGCTCATTTCACTAAGGACTGAAGAAAAAAGCAAGTTAGTAGTTAAGTCATTAACTCCTCTTGGCTGTTACTAAACTCTTCCTGGCATCAAATGTGAAAGAGCCAAGAAAAGTCCTTGGGAAAAGAGAACGTCTGGTTGTAATTATGATGCAGGTGCCTAATCTGCCACATGAGAGTTCAAGACAAAGTCTAAATGATTGAACTCACTCCTTGAAAAATGAGAGTTGAGTTTGCAAGTTAACTATAAAAACTGTACCACAAAACTAACTACAAAATCAGTGGGCCATGATTAGCAGTAGCTGAAGAACAATTAAAGAAAAATAGATATCTTTCCCAAGAGCTGTTTTTCCTTTTGCTTTAGGGATTCTAAGAGTCAACTGTCTGCCTGCATCAGTAAATGACCATTCAACAGCTTATCCTTCTAGCTGCTAAGACCTCTCAAACCTAGAATCACTTTTGCTAATAGCTGGCCAACTGATCCTTTGAAGGAGGTGATGAAGGCTGCTGCTTTCCATCCAGAAGCAATGGATTAGCGACCTTTACATACATAACAAGTCCTTTCTGCTACTGCAGCACGTACAAGTAGCTACACTTCCAAAGAGGGCAAAAATAAAGGCAAAAAATGAGAAGGAAAGTCCTTCCACGCAGGTGGTTGTGCACCATTGCTAGTTGCAAGGACACACAGCAGCTGCTAAATTCAGACCTGATGCACAGCCCTCATCTGCATGCCGGTCTTGGCTGAGGGCCCAGCTTCCACAGAGTGCAGGTGCCAGCTCTGCACCCACACTGCTCGCTCCCCACATCCTCATCCCTACAAGCTCTAGCAGGAGAGTTGCCAGAAGTTTAGATTACAGGTGCATTAATGTCCTTCTTCTATAAAGAAAACCGTAGGTTTTTGTGGCTAGATGTTTGTGTGTTTACACTCTGGTTCAGCAGCATTAGTGCTTAATTGTTTTTCCCAAATTAAAGCAGAGAAGAGAGACAAATTCAGTTAATGAATAAACTGTTCCATTGTTAATTAATCAGCAGCGGAATAATGATTCAGGATCAGAGCCACTCTGTTCTATCCTGCTCAAAGGAGATCAGCTCACCTCCTCCCAAACACTTGAGAAAGCCTGTGTTCAGAGGTTGCCTAGCAAGTTAGCCAACGTAGGCTGCAATACAGAGTGTACTGCCACAGACGTCTTCCTGACGCATTCTCCCTCCGGCTCCCTCGTCACCAGCCTGGGGTCTGTGACATTGCAAACAAGGAGCATCTCCCAGGTAATCAGGGCCCTAAACAGTTAGGGCTAAGTGTTGGCCCAGAGTCCTGGCTCAGAGTCCACCCAGCTCACAGAAAGCTGGTCTGAAATACTTAATAAGCAAGCTGCCGCCACCACCACCACCACCTACACTCATTCCACTCTCCAAATGGTCCCAAAGTTCAGCTTCATTTGTCAGAGCCATTAGCATAGCTTCAGTAGTTGGTGCCGGACACATTCAGGCTCTTTGAAGCCATTGCATTGTCATTATTTCCTAGCAAGAATTAGCTGGAAAATATTTCCACGTCAAATTACGTCAGACCTGAGACTCTCTGCATAATAAGAACTAATTCTTTTTTTTTTTTTTTTTTTTTAAAAGGAAACTTTCTTGTTTGCCTGCCAAGCTGCTGCGGTTTCTTATGTGGAAAGCACACAGGGAGATACTCTATACAGCCTCTATCTTTTAAGAAACCTTTGTTTCCCTAGCACAAAGAAAACCCCTTTAGCCTAGCCACTGTTATTCAGCCAAAAAAATATGTGTATACACACATACGGGAATTGTTGGGTTCTTGCTGAGAGTGACTTGCCTCAGTACTACTAACTGCACCCAAGTCATGTCTCTGCCTTGTATAACAACTGTCTCAGTACAGTGACAGTGGGTAAGGCTCTTCATCTCAGCTTCCCCAGTCTGAACTGTGCCTCAGTTTCTCCAGAACTAAGGCTTGTTATACTCAAAAATGTCATAATATTGACATCTCACTGCACCTCACTTTGAGATGCAATGGTTGAGGTATGCTTGTCATTCAATCTTATTCCCGTATGGCTTTCCTCAGCCTACATTGGAGTAGGTTTCCCCCATCTTGCACTCTGAACATCAGATCAATATGGTATTAGAATCATAAAAAAGCAGAAGTCACTGCAGCTGCAAATGCAAAGAAAAAATGCAAATCTCAAGGAAAAATAAACAAAAAACAGTTTGGGGCCATCCCTGTGCTGTTTTGCCTCATTAACATATTTTCAATCCAAATCCAGATGCCAGAGTTATTAGCATAAACTGAACTCCTGCCCAGGACAATAAAGATCTTAAGCACAGCTTATGTAAGTGGTCAAATTGCCAGGCAGGAGAGGAAAGCATGCTACCGTTGAGAAGGAACAGCTCACCTTCATCACAGACCAATTAAGATGGCATCTGTTGTAAGTCTGCCAGCTGCTCATATTTCCCTGCCATGGGTTCACCTGCAACAGCGCAGGCTGGAGGGCTGTCTTTGCACATGGTCAGAAGGGTTTGTTTGAGTACTCGGCCGTCCATTGACCTGGAGTTTTACAATGAAGTCCAAGCACATTTATCCAGAACACTGGGAGATACGGGCTTGAGGGCTATTCCAGGAGTTGGACTGACTGAATTGGATGTCATCATTTATGGTTTAATCAGTTTAATCAATGTGGCCCCAGGACATTACAAAAATATCTCTGGCTTCCAGGCTGATCAATACTTTTATGAGGTTTTCGTACA